AATTTATAGTCTACGTTATTGTTTTATATTGCAATATTATATAATCAGCATTATTATATTGTCTAAAAAAAAGAGCGTCAGTGTGTTTCTGTCATCTGTTTTGGGCGATATCTGTGTCTGTGACGGGACAGCAGCAAAAGCTCAAAAAAGAGCAAGGCAGACAATAACGAGTGGGTCGGAGAACTCGTGAAATTACGAACAAGATTATGAATTTAGTTACCAAGGGATTCGAGAAACACTTGCTAATTAACGATTGATTTTTAGAGCTACTTAGCGTTACGAAGCTTCCGGGGAACGCACCCAAGTTTACGGAGCGGAGAATGCGTTTCTACCTACGATCTGCTTTTCACCAAACTTACTTTCTACTTACTGAAACATGCCGTATATTACTGTACAAAATTATTATACTTCATACTTAATTATAACTGATATAATTTTACAACTGTAAGCGTAAATAACTAGTTGTCTGTAAAAAAAATTAATACATTAAGGATATTAATTATTCGTGTCACAATAGTCTAAATAGATATATAGCCTATAGAAGCAAAATACGTCGATCGTTTTCATTTTTATTTAAAGCAGTAGCCGTAGCCTAATATTTTAGACATATTTACAAAAATTGCCCGGTTTATTCCCGTCACACACAAACTCCAATATTCCAAATAAGGATATAGAATAGATCGCTGTCTGTGCTTTATGAAATAAAAAATTATTTTGGCTGAAAAAAGACAGAAGACCTTAGCTGTGATAGGAGACGGATTACAGGCGCAGGCCGCGGATGGCCATTAACAGTGACCCTTCCATAAACATCTTCGAAGCTACGCATTCATTAAATCAGCGCCTGCCTATCATATTTCAGAAATGTAACGACTGTCCTTCAACCTTTTAATACATCAAGATGCAAAAATTACAAGTATACTATTATAGGCCTACTGGTAAAAATGCCGGGAGCATCGCCGCTGTTGGCGTTATCTGTGACTTCTAATGATGAGGCTGATGATTATACGGCCAAATTTAGAATGTAGGCTAATTGTTTCTAATCTTTCATGCGTTGGTGAACAAATTATATGCGCGTCTCATTTAGTCTTTTTCTGTTTGTGTTGATATTGCAATACTACTGAACCATGTCTCTCCACGGTCATTGTACATTATATGCGATCAAATTTTCATTGGATCAAAAGGCCGCCCACTACCGATAAACCTCTTTAAAAGGGTCAGTGCTTTCAGCGGAATCCCCGTAGATTATACACCCTACGTCTCAGCCTTTTGTTCCGAGTTCATCCACCATCCCTGCATGACTTACCGTTGCACTTGCGCTCCTCTAGTCTCAGGGCAAAAGGGAGTAGATATAATCTACTTTTACGTGAGCCGTCTGAGCCCAAAATTCAAAACTATAGACGAAATAATTACAACCCTGCTACATCATACATCATGCTAATAATTCCGCTTTATAGAAAGACACAGAACATAAGACACATGTAGCTCATTTAGTAATAACAACAAGCCTGCGGTCGGAATATGACGAATTTATTAGTCCAATCTATAGACCAAAGTAAAGAAGGAAAGACTGATGAGTCGATTGCTTCACACAGGGTTAACTTGGCTCCTCTCATCCAGGGTGTGTACCAGCCTTGAACTGTACTCCCTGACAAACGGCCCAGAGCCCCCCCTCTCCCCCGCCCCCCAGGATAAACGGCTGGAAGATGGATGGATTTTTCTTAGAGACTAATTTGAGAACGTCTAATTGGACTTACTGTATATATAGAAAAAAAGATATTCCTGTTGTTATTTTATAGGCACTCGAAATTAGACATGTATTAAAGTGAGAGCAAACCTGAGGGTCACGGCGAGCGGTCAGCCATCTAGGGCGCCCGTGGAGCTGGGGGGTTAAGGGCCTTGCCAAGGGCCCGCGGACAGGCGCTCTTCGGATCAGGAGCACATGCAGAGGCCTGCCGCGATAGGTTCAGACAGAGGGGAAATGCAGCAGGCTTTTTTATTCTCGCGATGAGGTGGATGAACAATGATTTAAAAACGCAAACGAAGAACCGGTCCAGCGAATAAAAACAGAAGTCTACTTATTAACGTTTTACATTTTGTTAATATGCGAAGGGTGGGAATCGGGTACTCCTAACAGTACATTTTAATTCTGGTTTGCCCCTTAGCCCCGTAAATCGGTATCCTCTCAGGATCACAAACCCTACAACAGAAAGACGCCCCTAGACCCTCAAACATATTCAGAGGACAACGTGTTTCCCATGTCAATAATCCGAGCAACTTCCCTCCCTCCCCCCCAGCCTCTCAAGCCTTTCCGACCTTCATCCGGTAAGCTTTTTTAATCAGTTGTCCATCTATTATTAAAAAGCACGGATCGCCCTGCTTTTGGTCACTCTGCGTATATGAAACCGACCTGGAAACCGGAGTCGACCAGTCACGCAGAAACAAGAACGAGCGGCTAGGGTGTCGCCCAGGACGGTATAGCACCAGGCTGCGCAAGTCACTGGGCCATAGGCTTGGAACGCCAGTCCCTCAGCGGCGGAGGAAGGGGGATGGAAAAATGGGCTGTACCCGATGCCCAGGGAAACGCAGCGGTGTTCTAATGGCTCCCTGAAACCGTCGTGTAGTTTGTAGCCTGATAGTCCGAGCGCGAGCGTCATACCCCCTCTCCTCTATATATAATCATGGGATCTTAACCCTTTTATCTTCTTTATTTTTCCAGTGTGTGTTATAGCTGCAAATTAAAAAAATTAGAATTATTCACTTGGTAGAGGGATGGTGCAGAAAATCTGAATAATTTGAGAACAATGTGCAAATTATTTCAGTCAGTCATGCCAGAAAGATAATACGTATCGTGTCGTGGGTTTTTTTGCATTTTTGGTGGCCGAAACTCCTGCTATACTGAAAAGCTTTACTACCAAAAATGCATATAACAATAAAGTAAAATAGGCAGAACAGAGTGTATTACTCAAAGCGAGGTGCCAAAGGGATCGCGGGTCTGTATGTCCACGAGGGGCTCCGTCAAATTCCTGAATGTAATAGAAAATCTGTGGAAAGGATAAGGAAATCCACCAGGAAGAACGGGCGAAATGGCCAGGTAGAGATTTGATCAGTTAAGACTTGTGTTTATAAGTACTGTGAGTGATATTATTTGTTGTGGTTGTTCTTTTCTAATATTAAAGTAAATTTTAAAACTGAACAAATATTAACCTTAAAAGGATACAGGCATTTAATAAAACAATACATTTAAATAACGTTATTAAATAATAGTATTTTGTTTAGTTACTTCTGCGCAGCATTGTCTAGACATATTAACTTTGACTGTATCAGAAAACTGTTCTGAATGCACACATAGGTACCCATTCAGGTAAATCACATTATGTGCTTGACACAATAGTCAATATCATCAGACAAACTAAAAGCTTGCAGTAGCATTCGAAGCCATTTTTATTGGATGTGTCACATGACCACTGGATCTGGCCTATTAGAGGAGCCACTTAAGATTTACATTACATCATGCAGACAGGAACCAGTCTGACCAGCGCATTGCGGATGAACTGGCTCTAAATATTTAATAGAAGATCTCAGGTTTCCTTAGCCTTGGAGCACAGGCCTCCAGGAAGACGGGACCCCACCCCTTCCAGATGCCAGGCCTAGGGCAATGGGGATGAGTATCCTGAGTACTCCCAGCCTCACGCATGCCCCCATCTCCATCATAGTATTAGCATAGTATTGGAGAACAAGCTAGTAGACAAAAAACTGTTTATACAGCAGAGAATGACACAGCATAAAGATTATATAGATGACTATGCCAAAAATTGTGGAAAAAACATCAGTGACTAAAATTGAGCAACATCTCAGTTCTCACACCCTAGGCCGATTTTATACTCAAGACGGTATCAGATTAAACAGAAAACACAAGAGCCAGATCCACAATATAAAATATTATAGCCACATGACCACGCGACCCTACATAGGACAAGCGGGTAAAGAAAATGGATGAATGGTGTCACATGATTCTATGGCTTAATGCAGCAGACAAGTCATAGCAGGTAACTGCGGATGTTTTGCGCCCTCTTGGGGGGAAGTTGTAAAATGACGATTTGTTAAACTACAGCCAGTCGAAGCTGCCGCCTTTTAAAGTCACACTTAATGACGCAGCATAAACTCTCATGTAAAAATGCGCAAAACAAATAGAAATATGCCTATATCTATTTGTACATGTACGAATTAAAATTACATGCATGAAGCAAGTATTACATGACTACAGTCAGGTCAGGGACAGGTTTTGTGTTGTTCGACGAACATTGCTAGGCAGAAGCATTAACCTAACACATCATACACATAATGATATTTCTAATAACATAGTCTGAAAAAGTAAAGTGATGTCATAAATCAGGTGCGTGGTTTTCCCGAAATGTATTGTACCGAATTAGATTTGTTGCTTGTACCTATGGAGAAAGCGGTTTTCTCCGATTTTGTCTGAATGAGGGTCAAAGTTTTCACATTCTCAGAGAATCAGGTTATCAGAGAAGTCTAAGAGATTTGTGAGAATGGGGATTTAAAAAAAATATCCACAATGATACTATTCGATTCATATGCTACACTGTACTTATAGTTTGCTGCCATCTAGTGGTACATATGTAATACAACGGCGAAAAATAATGGTTCTCAAGCCAGAGCTCAGGCCTCTGAACTAGTCCCTATTCTTTGACACATTTAAACGTAATAATTAAAATCGCGATTACTTAGGTCTGTTGTGCAAAAGAGAAACAAAACTGTAAAATGGCTTGAGTGGGTCCAAAATAAACCTACAAAATGTAAACTCATAGTCCACTCCTATAAATATGAACCACTAACATAAAATACAGTGGTAATTCAATTTTCATCTAATAACCTTTAAATAATAACCTAATGACATTAACCTCAGCAAGGCCCTTAACCCCCAGCTAAAGATATTAATAACCATTAATGTCAATGGGAATAATTGACAACAACAAACCACATGAGATCCATATACATTGCTCTTTTTATTAAAAAAAAGTTTTTACAGTTTATTTATACACAACTATTTCAAAGGTCTTAATCATATTTGGGGGCATTTGTCAGCTTTGACCATGTCCCATACGTCACAATTCAAAGTAAAGCGAATAAAAAAAAAAAAGAAAATGCAAGAAAAACCTAAAAATGGGTTCTGTGGTCATTACCTCAGATTCCCAATGCACTCCTCGGGGACCTGCAGACCACATTTTTGCTCCCTCCCAGCTCCCAGCAAAAATGTGGACTGTCTGCAGGTCCCCGAGGACCGAACTGGGAAACATCGCATTACAGATGAACAATTCCAATGCCTGATGAGAGTCAAGCGAGTCGCCGTGACTGGTGGCTGTTCATGCCATGGTCGTCCCCCAGACCCATAACAGACTTGCACTGAGACTGGCGGGCAGATTGATAAGGGAGCAGAGGGCCACAGATGTGGGCCGGCCCTAGGAAACCTCAGCGTTCCGGCACCCTCGACGGACGACTGCTCTCTCTCGCCAAAAAAAACAGAAACAGGCTGGCACAGTCAAGAGGGAGGCCTGTGCACTGATGGGTATGGTGCTGGTTTGGGGATTGGGGTCTTGGAACCACAGTGGTTAACATGCAAGGCCACCATTCCTGTTCCACCCACCACACTGACTCAGGTTTAAGTACAGCTGGGGAGGGATACTTGACAGCCAATGGTCTGAACTCATTTTTGGAGGAAGAAAAAAATAATAATCCTGCAACAGACATAATCAGATAATTTTATTTATTTAATAAATTTACAAGGGAAGCATACTTAAGGTTCTTTCAGAGTCTTGGATATTTTTTTGTCATTTAAGACCTTAAATTTAGGGCTAAAAAAAACCAAACAAATATATACTCTTTTTTTAAGGGGGGGAGCTAACGTTCAGTTGCTAATGGCCTACACAGATTGTCATGTAACAATGTTGCCATGCACTGCTCAAAAAGTTTACTACAGAAACAACGACATGGTCCTAAAAAATGGCGTTTTTGTGTCCCTCGTTCTGAGGGACAGGAGCCAGGACAGAGCATTCTTAAACTGTGTAACATTCCACAGATGTCCCTTCTAATTATGAACCACATTTTCCTGTTTCTTACTTATGAACTGTAATATAATGCTGCAAAAATATTTATAAAACCACACAAGGGGGAGGGGGATGGAAGAATTCAAATTTACTCTTATGGTACGTGAAGGAACTGCAGAACCTGGACTGGAACAATGTGTTTTGGTATAAAAAGCCACTCTTTTCACTGAAAAATAAAGATGGACAACCCAGAGCTCAAAGCAGCCTGCTACTGATAGGCATGTTGAACAAGCCATGAAAGACCAGTCAGTCCAGCATGCTTAGTTTCCCAGGCTTCAGGCCAGAACCAGTAGCTTAACTGGGCATACATCAACTGGCTGACCCAATTTGGATGTTTGGATTCTAGTCAAGACCAAATTGGACCATCTAATTCCCATTATTGTTCAAGCCTATTGGAGTCTTAGAGAGGGAAACAGATGGGGGATTTAAAATTAAAAAAATCTAAATAAAAAAAGATAGTTCATCTTTTATTCCATTGTGGCATGGATTGCATTCTACTGGTTTGACATATAATTTCTTCGTATAAGCAGAGACACCCCTGGCAGCTCTCTTTCCATGGTGTAATGTCATGTTTTGTCTAAAACAAAACTAAATCCCCATATGGTATCAAACACTGACCTGTACATGTTTCCAGAACTTGCATAAAGGGAAAAGAAAGGATGTTAACATCTTTGGGTATCTTTTTTTAAACCACAGAATAGAATTAATAAACAAAATTACTTATATTTTCCTTGACAGGACATTAGTTCAAACAAGCCAAACAAGTAATAAATCCAGACATTTTTAAATTTGAATTCACCACCCAGCAAACTAACTATCCCTACGTAAGTCAAACACCTATTATAGTTTAGCACAAGCGATAGGCAAGTTGATTAAAGTGTAACACGGTAACAAAGACCTGAAAATTCCCCTGCATTTACCACCATCTAGTGAGTAGCCAAGTAATTCACTACGCTTTACATACGTTACTCTAGCCTTCGAACAGAAGATATTCAAGCTGGACTTTATCTTTTTATAGTATACTAGCTCAAAGCCCTACACAACTTCACTTCTGTATCATGCCACAAAGTACAAAAGGATGTTCAGAGACGGGGGGGGGGGGGGGGTGGGGGGGGGGGGGGGGGGGGTGCTCGACGGTCAGCAGATTAACATACCAGCCAAATGGGTTCAGAAATCATTCTCCCTTGGAGTGGACAATGGCCGCTTCTTAAATGTTTGCTTTTTTGCAAAGGGACTGGTAAGGCTCACAGGATCCAAATGTAAAAAGAATTATGGCATCTTTAAATCTGATCCGAAGGCAAAAAAAAAAAACCCACTTAAAATTGTTCTTGAAGCCGCATTTCCCATTTTTATGATTTCTATTCCAACAACTTCTGAAGCAACGAGATCCCATCCAGAATGGCCTTTTACAGCAGAGATGTGCTAAGTGCAAAGAAATACCAAGCAGGGAACCTGCTAGACAGTGTTTAACGGATGTATCCAATTTGAACCAAAAAAAAAAAACCAAAACAAAAACGTTTCAAGGGGGGAGATTAAACGGAAGGGAGCTTCACATCCCATTCCCGATGTGACAACCATCCGCGACATCCTAAATTTCTGTCCCCCCCCCCCCCAGGCTTTCGGCGCATCGGTCACGGAGAGGTGGAGCACACTCAAGCATTACCCGCAGCTTCGCCGTGAGAGGTTTTCCGTCGTGTCCTACAGTTTTCGGCTGCACGTGAGCGAAGTAGACTGGAGGGCTGCGCGGCGCATGCAGTCAGGCTACGAGGCTAATGCAGCGGAATGTGGGAACGCTAATGCGCCTCGGGCGGACAAATGACCGGGAAAATGAGGAACACATACAGGGTGAGATACACACCAACGCTATATCCATAAAAATCCTTGTTTTAGTAATAAAAAAAAATTGCCTTGTTTAAATATGAATATCATAGTCTGCTTCTCAGGGTTAGGAAATCATATAGTCTGTTGTTTAAGGGAGCCGCAAGGTACTACAACTCCATATCCTGGGCCTCATCCTCCGAAAAATCTGACATGGAGCTCTCTGACGAAGAGTCCCCGGCACCCTCCTCCTGCTCCTTCAGCGCCTCCTCTGTTGCATATTTCTGGATGTATTCTGCAGAGGATAAAAGGGAAGGCAGTTACACAGTGTCCCCACTGCTATACAGTGAGGTAAACAGCAACATCCCACAAAAGGTTTCTCTTATCTAGGGGTTGGAGCTGCAGGGTGCAGCAAGGAATAGTACTGGGTCCCATAGGGAAAGGGTGGTGGCGGCTAACCTTTGATTTTCTGTTTGTACTCCTCTGGTCGGTGGAGATACATGGCAGCAGCATCCCCATTCAGGGGGTCAATGGGGTTGGGGTACGCCAACAGTTGAGGCAGGAACGACTCAAAGATATTGGTTAGATCTGCAATGAAAATATATTTGTTATACTAGTACCTATAGACATGTCCTTTAAATAGAATGATAAATCTCCACCTTCAGAAAAGGGAGTCCCATCCATGTCTTGTTAAACTTGCTCAGTAAGCCTCTGATAGTTCTACATACGTCTTGCCAAGTCACATGAATTATATTGGTGCAGTATTGTAACTTTCAGCTGGTTGTCACTGTTGTGCAAAACGCTACTTCAAGCACCAAGAAAATCCTCATAACCACAGCAGTCCCTACTTTCAGTTTTTGCAAGTTGGTTGAATGAAATGGATGAAATGGTTTATAAAAGTGACTGGTACAACTGGTGTTTCCCATCTGCATAGATCCAGCAGACCAATCAGAACACAGTATCTGATTTATTTTCGATAAACCCAACAATTAGTGGAAGTGATTAGTGGGAATTAAAACAAAACCAGTAACAAGCAAAATGGTTAATAAAATACAGTGCACTGCCCTTTCAACAATGCTTAGCTATACAATCATACTGACAAATCAAAAGGATGGATAAAACGTTTTTGATAAAGTAAGAAGTTCTGATGGATGGATGGATGGATGGATGGATGGATGGAGGCTCAGGGTGGAGCAGTGGCACGTTGGAGAATATGGCACAGCCAGCTACATGCTGCTAATCATTAGTGAAAGGGACTTCGTTTAGAGACATAGGGACATTTCACGACCTTGACTGTGCCAGGAATTACCTCATTAGCAGTATGAGAAATAAGAGGATTAAGCTTCTCTGCTGAGGGCAGAACTCTATACCCCAGACTACACCACAGCAGACACCCAGCAGCAGGTCCAAACGGACCCAAGGAAAGCTCCCCCAAGCCCCAGTCGATCATAAAATTGTCCCAGTGGGACTACTCTCACCGTAAAGGGCTGTCCACGTCTGGTTAATGACATCTAGACACACGGTCCCTGACCTTGAAGGCAGAGAGGGAACATGGATGTTAATCTCTACAGGGCACATCTCTCCTCTTAAGGCTCACCTCTGGTACGACACTCCTCATGACACAAACGAGTCAATGCTGGGTCCCCTGCCCTCTCTAGGGCGGTCGGTCTCAACTTGCAAGCGCGTCATGTGACAAACATAAGCACCATTCACGCTTGGTGCAGCATTTCATACCCCGTGACTGAATGTTTACAACTTTTACTGCCCAGAAGGAAAGTGTCAGCGAGACTGCTCTATGCTATTGAGACAGATGTTTCTGCTCTCAGCTGGACAGAAAGGAGAGAGAGGGACATCGACTGTTAACCGTTTCAAAATGTAGGCATAATTCATGGTCTGCAGAAAGAAAAAACATACTGCAGCCACTCTGGGAGAAAACAGATTCAAAGACTCCGAATCAAGCTGCGAGTCGGATACAGGACAGGTTTATCATGTACATAATTCATGATTGTTGAAATGATATCTTCACTTACGCTTCATCGATGTTGGGATGAAAAATTTTATTCATGAATCCTGGAAGGGGGAAAAAAAAACAAAAACAAAACTGACACACTTAACGTGACCACTTTCTGGGTATTTTCATTCAACTTCCTTAGAAACAAACATAAAGTTGTTGTAATTTAGATCCTATATTTATGAATGTGGCTTTTTCCCAAAAGTCAGCCAGTCTAAACAAGCGCATTTAGCCAGTCTACATTCTTAGGCTTTCAGGTTCTGAATCTGTCTGTCTGCTGTCGAATCCATTCATATGAAAAAGCCATGAGATTAACTGAATATTTTAACATGATCATTAATAACGTATCAAAGCCTCGGGGCTGATGACTTCTATGCCTTGTCAGAGGTCGTCCCCACAAAACAGAATGCGAGACAAACCCATTGCCAAGATAAGTGAGCTTGACAGGAAACAGGCAAAGTTTAATTGACCTGGGATGCAGCATCCTTCAGGTTCAACAGATATATTAACACCCAAAAACGTGTTAATAACAGTGTTCCTGGGCTGAACTGAGAAACAAAACAAATCTCTAGCATTTTTTTTTATAGAGCACAGTGATGTGGGGAAATCCATGACTATACCTATAGATGGAGATTTGAAGGGGTATTTGTCCGGTAGGTCTACTCGCACTTTCCACACTCCACCTTCATATGGCGCTATAGAGACAAAAAAGAAAGAAAAAAAAAATCCATCTGTGAAACATGCGCATGCAAACACACAGGGGGGGAGGGGGGTAACCGTGGAGAGTAAACACGTGTTACAAACAAATACGAATAATTTCCGAGACTTGAGTTGACACTGGAACATGTAGAATCATCTCACCCACAACATATCTAAGTGTCGCCCGTTTTGCACATCTAAGAACTTGAACACACTTTGTTTTTCTTTGTATCTAACTGGTTTGGTCACCTTCCAGTAAGGGATCAGGGACTCATCGTTGGATATTCACTGGGTGGTGGGCCAGCGACGTCGGTTCATTTGCCTGATTAAAAGCTGGAGGGAGTCCTGCAGTCCCCAGACAGGTCTGCCAAAGAGGAACCTGGCAGGGCTAAAACGGGCCAAGTCGACCCCAGCCAGACTGCAGCAGGCGGGGGCCGCAGCTGAGAGCTCACATTACTTATATTTCGGGCAGCACCTTCAGCCAGCTTTGCCTACCTTTTTAAAGTCGCATGAGCCTGGTGCATTTACAGAGACACTGACATCTGCCTGGTGAAATAACAGGAGAAACGGCCTCCGATCTTTTCCAGCTATAATTAACGGGGTATTTTTAACAGCTGTGCAATGAGGAAGAATGACAACCATTTCCTCCTTCCACGCAGCCTTTGCTACCCCACCCTCAGACAGTCATGACGGTTCGCCCCGTCTCACCACACTACCCAAAACCATCTTGATCTCCCCCTCCCCCCCCCCCCACTGAAAAAAGCCTGGGTGGGAGCAGCTTTTCACGCGGCATAAGGGGGCAGAAGGAAAACAGAAGCTGACGTGATGACTCTACTTTTTTTTTTTTGAAACGGTGACGTTTCTTCATGTACAGCTCAAAAATAAATGGCCTCAATGAGCTATTTCATACTCATCATTTGTCCCCCTGACATCGGCTTTTCTTACAAAAGGGTGGTGCTCAGACAGACAGACAAAGACAGACAGAGAGACAGACAGAGAGACAGACAGAGAGACAGACAGAGACAGACAGAGACAGACAGAGACAGACAGAGACAGACAGAGACAGACAGAGACAGAGAGACAGAGAGAGACAGAGAGAGAGAGAGAGACAGAGAGACAGACAGAGACAGAGACAGAGAGAGAGACAGAGACAGACAGAGACAGAGAGACAGACAGAGACAGACAGAGACAGAGAGACAGACACAGACAGAGACAGAGACAGAGAGACAGACAGAGACAGAGAGACAGACAGAGAGACAGACAGAGACAGAGAGACAGAGACAGACAGAGAGACAGACAGAGAGACAGACAGAGAGACAGACAGAGAGACAGACAGAGAGACAGACAGACAGCACACTGTCAGCCTCTTCACACTGACAGCACTTACTTCCTTGTGGTCCATAAAACTTNAGACAGACAGAGAGACAGACAGAGAGACAGACAGACAGCACACTGTCAGCCTCTTCACACTGACAGCACTTACTTCCTTGTGGTCCATAAAACTTCACTACGAATTCATTGAGCCCACTTAAGATGGTGACTTCATGCTTGCTTTCAATGCTGCGTAGGTGCGTCAAGGACAATGTTTTAGGTTCATTACACAGAGTACAAGGAGTGTAGCAGAGACCTGGGACCCTTGTGTGCTGAGCCTCTCTGGGGTCCCCACCAGCCCCATTGCCCTCCCCGCCCACCCCGGCCTGACGAGCTCCTAGCACATCACCTCCAAACGCATCACAACTGCAAAGCTGCAAATTCCCCTGAACAGCCGGCATCCTTTGCACAAAGCGCTCTATTTTCAGACACCGTACGCACTTAACAGATGCTGTATGCTGATTGCACAATATTTACAGAGGAATAACGTGGAGATATAGCGGCGCTCCTTGCCTTCTCAGAAAAGCATGAATAAGGCAGAGTGCCATCTAAATTAAACCGGGGAGCTCCCGCTTGGCAGATAGGCGACTGCGTTCAGTCATAAGGGTCCAGGAGCAGACTGACAGGGGTAGAATGGAAAGCTGATCAACCGGAACCAAGAACCCAAATTTTGTCTGCATGGACCTAGTCATTCACGTTATTAAAACTGCACACCGCTGGGCACGTGGTTGTGGGATCGATTCCCACCCACCTGGCACGCACACTGTACCCCCTCCAGGACTAGGCATCACCAGGCAACAGGGCTGCATCTTTCCAATGAAGCCTCATTATGCAGGTTTGTAAATTAAACAACGATCCATTTATGGAGGCGGTCCATCTCCGTGTGTAGAGAAAATAAAATTAATTCACTCGCACTGCCGAAAGCACAGAATCGAACATAAAACGGGCCGTGAAATACAATAAAAATGAACTCTTTCCAATTTAATTAGGGGACTTTAATAGGCCATGAAATGAAGCCTCTAGTTCTGCTCTGCTGTAGGAAGGACTTTGGGCCCAAAGTGCACCGGCCACTGTGTTTACAATCACAATAAATCAATCACAGCGATTAATAGCCGGAATGGCTGGGGCATGGCCGAGCACCAGACGGACTGTCAGGGACGCCAGGAGCTTCTCAGGACCCCTGTGGAAACTGAATGAGGGCCAGCGTTGCCGTGGCTGACGCTGCAGCATGTTCAGCCACTCCGGGGCTGTCGGGGACTGGGGGACCTTCACCACTGCTTGGGAAATCTGGGCCTCATCGGGACCCCAGCATGCCCCTGACCGCATCTTATTTGCATCTCCAAGGGCTGGCAATCACCCCCGCTACCCCTGCGGAGATGGACTGTTCCTAGTCCTATGTTGCGAGAGCAAAGGCGTGGCCTGCGGACTCCAGCCCAGTGGATTCGAGTCCACTCCCCCTCTGCCATGGCTGTCGCGCCTGTCACTCCTGCCATTGTGGAACGGGGAGGTGCAGCACCACACAGAGACCCCACACACCGCGGTAAAGTCACAATGAAAGGCCAGCGGCCCACAGCCACCGCAGCCAAGACGGCCCAGTCACAGACCCGCTGCCGTGGGCCCACTGGCAAGCCCACTTCAGCTGCCCCTGTGCTGGCTTCCACCTCCAGCCCCTGATCCGGCCTCTTCTGGGTCTGAATGCCCCCTCCTCAGAGTAAACAGATCTCAGATTCCTTCCTTGGACACAGAGTTCCATGTGACAGTGGGAAAGGGTGCATCTTCATGAAGCACATGCTGTAAACATCAGAGTGATCACAAAAGTCAAAATGAAAGTCCTGCAATCTGACTCCCAACTTACAGAAAGAAGGGGGTTCCCAACACCCCCGTCCACAGCAAATATTCCAAAGGGCTGCAGAACACTGGGGGGTTTGGGGAGGAGCTGGTTAATTTCCAAAAATAAACTGCATTTCTTCTTCTTTTTTTTTTTTTTCGAATTGTTCGAATCTAAAGAAGTTGAAACCCCCCCCCCCTTTTTTTTTTCCCGTCCCTGAAATTTTTGGATGATATAAAACATTCCACGGAATCCCCCCCCCCCCCATTTTGGGTTCAGTTTCACTAATCACACATCTTCATATGACTAACCTGATGCAACCGAACAGATCGCCTGTGTCCATAGGCAGCATTGAAGGGTACAGCCTGAAACAGCCTTTATGGGGTTAAATTGCACTGGAGATTTATTTCGAGTTCAGGCTGCAGTACATGGCAGCAGATCCAGATGGAAAGGACCTCGCTCCTTCCCTGTAGCCCTCCAGAGAGGAAGAGCAAGTCTGCATCTGACAGCCATTTTCAGGCTCTCAAAACGGAGTCCTGAACCACTAAACGGGCATATCATTCACCGTTAAAACAAACAGTGTTTCAACATGGAATAATCGTGCCGTGTGCAACTGATTACATACATGGTCGCCTGGATTCCTCAAGGCTATTCCATGAAGGGGATCGAAAGCAGAGAAAAGACTGGGGGTGGGAGGGGGTTCGGTGGTGGGGGGGTGATTGTGGCGGGGGCAAAACAAAAGCACCCAGTTTCATATTTTTTCAGTGAGTGAAAACGGTTTTTTAAACAGTGGGGCTCACTGATCGTTCCTGGTTCCTTCTTAAAGGGGAGGAGACGTTCATAAACAAAGCAGATTTCTTCAGCTCCCCAAGTGGAGCTGACACCCTGAAACCCAGCTTTGTGGGACTGAAGTGTGGGGAAGTGGGGGTGGGGAGATGGGTAGTCTGCCTGGAATTGGCTGAATTCCACACTGGAGCACTGGAGCACTTGTGCACACCCCACGATGCCGGGACGGCTTTACAGACTGATGTCCCGTTTTTTTCTTGAAAATGATGTTGGCTGCCCCCACACGGAATGGCCCCTGAAGGTCTGAAGCTACAGGGTCAGTCCAATGGTCTTTGGGTTGGCTGGGGAGGGGGGGGGGTCACAAATCTGACCACTAGGATCATAAGTGATGAAGGACGCTAAACTCTCCTCCACCTGCCTTACGAGTCACAACATTACATACCCTGCCATTCAACAGAGCCTCTCTCTTCCAGCGACCTGCTAGGAACTTAGAGTGAGCCCAGGTTGTCCAGAGAGAAAGGGGGGGAATTCAAACACCTTTCAAGGCGGTCAGGCAAGGTCAGATCCCTTCAGCACAAGCAGGAGTCCTAATCACAGACCAAGGCAAATAGGAACACAAAGGGGGGGTCTATATTTACATTAATATACCTTACACACACACACACACACACACACACACACACAGAAGAGAGTATGTAGAAACTAGACACGCTTAGGAACACATGACTCTACATTGACACAAAACAGAACAAATGCATACCTGTGTGCGCACCAGCCCTCAGAGCTCAGGGCCACCCACACCCTAACGGCCTTACTGCAGGGGTGGGCAATCTTATCCACAAAGAGTCAGTGTGTAGGCAGGTTTTCACGGGTAACCTTTAGGTCAGCTGTTCAAACCCAGGTTTGAGGCAATCAGTCCTCTAATTAGTAATCTAATTAGAGAGTCGCAGCGAAAATCTGCATACATGATGGCCCTTTCCGCATAAGATTGCCCACTCCTGCCTTACTGGGTCTAGCTCCCGTTTGCCTCCTGGACCTGCAGCTCCGGCACAAGGCCACACGCGGTTAGACCCCGATGATGCTCCGTCTCCTGTCACCTCTACGAGATAAAGGACAGGACGCTGCGTAACTAAGCGACAAAGGGCCCCCGCCTGGCCTGCCGCAGCGATGTGGCTGACAGAGATTAAACCCCTGGCGAAACAAAGACAGCGGAGCAGGCAGCAGACGAGAGCCCCAAACGGCCCCTACCTGCGCAAGACGTTAATCAGCAGCTGCCGTTCAGGAAAAAGATGGACAGCTGCCTCGCTCAGCTGGTTTGCAAACTGAACAAACAAACCCCCTAAGACCTCGCAATAGGCCAGCGTTCCTCAACCCAGTCCTCGGGTAGCCTCCAGCCAGTCCACATTTTAGCCTCCTCCCAGCTCCAGCCAATCAGGAACACCGAATACCTGGTACAGGCGTGTTGGGAGCTGGGGGGAGCAAAAATGTGGACTGGCTGGGGGGGTCCCCACAAACTTGGTTGAGAAATACTGCAATAGGCCACATAAGCTCACTGATTAGCCCTTTCGAAGCACACTCTCATCAGTATCAATGACTGGCAGGAACTGATTATGCAAACTGAAAAACATTTTTTATAATTACTTCAGTTTAAAGTCAGCAAAACCATACCTTAAGTTTAGGGTAGGTTCCCCACCCTGGACACCATGTTCTCCTGTCATGTTAGCCTGCCTGTCACACAGGCTCTGCCAACACCCCCCTCCCTCTGCTACTTAGAGATAACCCCACTGCTGGGGGGCCTTGACAGGGTCACAAGCAGCAAAGAAGCACCACACCCTAAAGCAAACACAGAGGAGCGTGGTACAGGGCGGCCGGGACGTCAGTGTACATCACAGGGGCAGATGCCTGGATCATGATAGGATCTGACTTCAGTGTTTAGCTTCACAAACAAACTCCACATCTCTGTACCCTCTGCACCCAGTCTTGACCCAGACATCAGCAAACATGTTAGAGCACGCAGTCAGTCCACGGCGAACTGTAGAAATAAAAATTAAGCCATAAATGTTACTGAGCAGCTTTTAATTCTGAAGTTGTCTGCCCCTCTACTTGGCAGATTCCTTGTGAGATTCCTTCTGAAGGCCCATCGTGAAACTTCCATTACCCAGACCACTGCACAGATCTCATTCTTACTATGGGGCCAGCTGTACCAAAACAGACTTTGGTTAATGGAACCATATCAAACCTGAACTATAGTATCCGATTAAGAGAACATCAACTGCAACAGCATCCTACAGACGCCCCTTCATGTTCGATTCGGTGTCACATAGCAAACCTTACTCCTGAGAGGTGGTTACTCCCCACTGAGACAGTACACTGGATTGTTCTCCATGACTTGTATACTTTGTGTTCTCGCACGAGTACTCAGAAGCTCCGCCCACTTTGCATATCAATGGGCACCCGAACCACAGATGGGACAAATTAAACTACTACTGTAAATAGCTTCTGGTTTTGTAGAACCATGCCTCACAAAAGGTCAGGTGGGCCGCTCTGCCTGTCCTATCATGCTTCAAGTTCCTAGAAATAAAATCCCACAGGGACGGGTGTGTGGAGCCTGCAAAACCAGTGTAACCACCAAAAGTGCTGTTTGGCCCACTCCAGCTCAGCCAACCCCCCATACACTCACTGGAACTGCTAGAAAGTCAGTAACCAGTACTCTGACCCTTCTCGTGCAGAATCACCAAAACTACTGACTAAGCATCTGGTCCACCACACCCACACACACACACACACACACACACACACACACACACAGACACAGACACAGACACAGAGACACAGAGACACAGAGACACAGAGACACACAGACACACAGACACACAGACACACAGACACACAGACAGTAGCTTTTCTTACAAGATTACAGAGACTTGGTCATTGTCTTTCTTTGTCTTGGCACAGCAAACTCAAAAGTCACTGAAAAGAGTCTTTTTTTTTCACAAGCTGGCCAATATACTCCGATATACTGGCAGAAAGACAGGCCTCCACAGTGTTACTTATTTTACCATTTACTATAAAAAGGAATCCCCTCGATGCAAAAACAGGCGACTCCACCATCACTCAGAGTCAAGAGGGGAGTATTAGTCCATCAAGGTTTCGATGGGAAGCCCTTCAAGGCAATTCCGTCGCGTGATATGGATCTCACACCTCGCCTTCACAAGTGACCAGCCCTTCTGCATCTTCTCCAGCTCAGGACAACGTCACAGGACAGACAGCGAGTGGGGGGTGGCTCATTTGCATAACATTCAACGAACACTTGTCACAGAAATAACATGCCATAATAATCTTTCAGCTCTCAGCTTCGGAGAGACTTCTGAGCCTGGCTGGGGCAGAACAAAGAGCCAGTCATCTCAGGGAGTTCGCTTGAGAAGCCCCCCCCCCCCCATGCTTGATTTTGGAGAGGAGGGGTGTCTGCTGTTTGCATAGGGGTACAAAGCAGTGTCAGGTGCAGAATCGATGCTAGTTGAAGTCGGCGAGACACAATAGGTGAGGCAAGATAGAAAATCTGGCTGTTAGCATTCTTGGCAGGCAGCTCGCTGAACACCCATGGGTCCTTTTTCACACTGGTTAACCCCCCATTTCAATACACGCAAGGGAACACATACAGGGGAAAGGAATAAAAAATACAAAGGGAATGAAGGTTGACAAGGAAGTGTGTGCAAAACACCTGTGCATAGTGACATCCGCATCCATGTGAAGGAAAGCCTGAAGCAAGAAAACCACCATTTTTAATCTTTTACACAATTGTTTTATACAAAATTACACATTCATTAAAAGCCTTGGTGCTGTGAACAGGACACTAAGATTAATCAGGCCTTTCAGGAACCGCTGACACCTGGCTCTCTCCTCTCTCACAATCCCCGCCTGGGGGCCTATGGCTTCCAGTACTCGGGCACACAACCAGGCTCACGCCACATGGACCAGAAGCAGAACAAGCTGGGGACAAACCAAGAGCCTCATGGACACCAGGCCCTCGGGCTCTGCTCAAAGGTCCTTCTGAGAGGGGCGAACAATGAGAGCCGTAAATTTAAAATGACAAATCGACGACAGGTCAGGGACGGAGGTTGTCCCCCCTCCCCCCAGCAAGAAAAAGCACCTCCGAATGGTTTGGCTTATTCTGATACTGCGGCGTCCCATGAGACACGCAGGGAGAAAAATGCTTCAGGGGACTCATTTCCACACACTCAAAAGACTTTTAGGTGAAAACGAAGCTAATTCAGATACTGAGGCACATGGCAGCACTAACAGACCAAAACAAAAGGGAAATATGCAGACATTAATCGAAATCCTTCACTTCTTAAAAATTATGTTCATGTCTCCATTCAGGCTGCTGTAACTATTCTATAATTTGAGGGCAACGCGACCGCCTGATCTGGAATTTTTAAATCATCTCTCACATTCAAAAGAATAACATTTCCGTTACGAAGTGGGAACAACCACATACAGTAGTTCTGAGTGCGCATAACAATCTGTCATACTCTAAATACTTAGCAAAGGCTTATACTTAAATGGGCAGCTTGTCAGCAGAAAGAGCAGAGTGTTAGCCACACTGAAGAGGGAGAGCTATTTTATCAGGAGATGTGACGATACAGCCATATGCCAAATTATGAATTTTAGAACTGGGGCTCAGTGCCACCTTGTAACACACACATAATGAAAGCCTGAGTCTTTAAACATTGCAGTCTGACACCTCATGCAAGACGAATCAGCCTTTTCAATAACGGCCTCCTGAGCCAAACACGACACAGACCTCAACATGCCAACCTGCAAACCTCCACCCGAGTTAGACTCCCACCTCCAGCATAAGCCCTGTAAACAGAGGTGTCTATTCACTCACTTCTGCCAGCATTACTTACGGCTGGGAAGCACATAATGCACAGTCTGGGTGGTAAGTATTTATAAACTTTAAAGACAATTGAAATTATATAAATATTTAAACATACAATTCCAGAGAAGCCTACATAATCTACATAAATTGGGATGTCCTTAAAGATGCTCAGTTTACAATTTGCAGACATATTACTCATAAACTTTCCTGGCACATATGAAATACATAATGCAATTACATATTCCAAATGCATGCAAATACGTATTCCAAAAGACTAACATGCTCAATGTTGACAATAACAAATTTAATTAAATCATAACCTCATTGGAATAAAAAGGATCATATAAATAAATAACTATCTGACAATTTGATTTTGCCTTAAGTTCTTTGCTCTGTATACAATGAGGCCACGAAAGTTTAACACTCGCCTATCTCAATAAACATTTCATTTTCAGGTTAAGAAATTAAACAAAAAACCATCTCACTGTCTACCTAGCTAGTGTCAGCCTCTCTGCTATGGTTCTCACTCACATACCTGTGCAAGCATGATACACAGAATTTAAAGAAATAAAATTAACATTTCGCCAGGCAGTGTAATTTGCTGAATGGTTTATATATTCACAAGACTTCTCATCAGGGTCTACAATGCCTATTCATTTCTGGGTATTTCAATGTGGGTAAATATAAAAGACACAGGTGGACTTATTTGGACAAGAGTGTTTCATTCAGTAAAGGAAGTATTAAAAACTCGGGTGAATTCAGTAATTTAAAGACAGTTACTGGAATAACAAAGACTTGCTTCAGCGGTTGTGGGATAATGACACAAAGAAAAAAGCCCACCTCTCCAGACAGCTGTGCTGCCAGTCCCTGCCCCCCACCCCATCCAGGCTAAACCAAGCCCAACCATAGCAGTAACACACCAGTATTACAGCCGGCATAGACGCCTTCGCAGGTCATATCTTTTGTGGTAGCTTAATTTGCACTGAAGCTCCATTCAGAGGTCGGTCTGACATTCATTAGACGTTCACCCATCCAACAGGATTCACCCTCCCACTGCCTGGCTCCCCCAGTGGACACTGCACCCTCAGGAACGATGTCGGAGCTGCGTGCCATTTTCAGGTTATGGTGCAATGGCAAAACGGGAGGATCCGGAGCAGGCACGCGGATATTCGGGCGCACACGCGCGCGCACTGTCACGTGTCGCACATGCTCAGCGGCACAGGACACAGTACAGGCAGTGGCTGATCCCCACAGTGTAAGAATGACACAAGACTGTGGAGAGCAGGAATGTGCTAATTCCAGAGGAGAGGACACAAAGCCAGTTAATCCTGCGGGTTAGCTAGTAGTTCCTCAGGCTAGTGGGGGGGGGGGGGGGGTACTCCACTGCCCTGCCAGTGGTCTTCAGACTCCTAAGGGCTGATTTACACTTCTGCATAAAATCAATGCCATCGGTACACTATGGGCACACTACACTACAGCCTGACACACACCTCCAGAGAAATGTAACTACAGACTTCAGGCTACACCATACCCTATGACACAGAAGTATAAATCAGCCTTAAATCAGATGGCAGCCACCCCTGGAAAAGTTTTGAAACCTCCTTCCTCTTACATCACCGATCACATTACAGCCTGCACACCAACTATAGTTTGACACACAGAGGCGGTCTCTTATTGGCCTGTGCACCCACAACTAACCCCGTCTCTATTTCATATATAATTAAGCAATGCGAGTTTGCATTCTCCTTTGAACTCCAACTAATTATTTCAATAAATAGGGACAAAAATATGTAATCACGATTTTCTCTTCAAAATCAATTTAAGTTCATACTAGTTTTATTTACTGAGATGCAAACAAATACTCTACATGCATATAACAAGCTTATAATAACGTTTCCTGCCTGTAACCGTCAATATAAAGACATACATACGACTCCAAAATAACCTAAAACTGATCAAATTCAGCAGGTGGGATCTCCACCATTGCCAGTACCAACACGCTTCGCTGTCACTCTGCATCAGCTGTTTTAGTCCCGCCCCCTACTAGTTTCCGGGTAGTAACAAACTAGCCAATCAGTGCGCCAGTTTCCACCGCAAGAGGACAAAAACAAGCCGTCCTCACCATCTTTGAAGCTCGCAAATACTTCAGGAACTCCGCGATAACTACCGCTGAAGTTTGCGACACCGCAACATCGACAGAAAACGGGATAGTGAATAAACCCCTCGGGGGGGACACGGAGAAAGCAGCACCGTGTGCTCGAGTGGGGTTTAAAAAAAAAAAAAAAACTGCCGCATTTCTTCAGATTATTACGGTTCTGGTTCCTGTTTATTACAACGCGGTTTAGAGCCATCGAAGGACGGAAACAACAAAAGCGGCAGCATCGTCGTTTAGGGCCGCCGGCCCGGGTGACGTAAACGGAGATACGTTACCGTGTGTAGCTGCGGCGCCGACGGTGCTCCGTTTAGGAAGAACCACTTCGTCCCCCGTGATTAGACATTAAAGTCTTTACCCTACCTATACATAGCAGGACATCGGTGGGGGGGGGGGGGTACCGTCTTGTTCAAAACAAACGAAACACATGCATCTATTCTAAATCATGATTAACTCATAAGTGTACAATAAGTACATATGTTTAATAGTGATAAGTTAACAGATAATAAATTTGCGTTTTTGTGCATTTGGAGCAATTTATGAGAGGAAGAGAGTGGAACAAGGAAAAAAACACCCACACCCTCAACAACTTTTGTGTTGTAACAAAGTTGGCAGCAGGCCTTTACATTACGTCCCGGAAAATGGACATCCTACGGTCCATAAGTAGAAAATAAAACACCGTAGAGTTATTGGTGGCTCTCCGTGTTGAAGTTGGACACAGTCAAGCCCATGTCAGATATA